GAGCGCAGAAAGGTTTTAGAGTCTATTCGATCAGAAATGGGAGAGGAGGAGATAAGGTCTGCAACTGACTGAAAACTTGATCACTATTAGCCCAAGTGGATAGCTGAATAAGCATGGTGTTGTATATGTTATAGGTATATCCGCCTTCCCTACCATAGTACTATGAGAGGCAGAATTTTCTCAGCGTGCATCTTGAGATCTGGGGGTCAAGAAGTAGCCATCCAGTACCTGTGGCAAGTATGGAGGTTGTCTCAAATGACAATCAGAATACGGAGCAGGTTAATCCCCAACAAGATGTATGTTTATCCTTTTTTCAAGTTTATAAATGATTATGATTATAAAAAAAACTATTTTTAAGATATCTGAGATAGTTCAATTGGCTACATTGGAAAATAATTCTTTATGGATTGTACGTATATGAATAATTTTAAACCCCATGCAAATTGGTCTAAAAAAATACAGCATTTCAAAAATTGTACTAGGTGAATGATAAATCAAAATTGTATTTCAAACCTGTTATAAATATATTGCTTTGCTCTAAAAATGCTTCTAGAAATTAAAAAAAAGTGCTTTATGGACAAAATTGCATTTATTTCCAGGAATATTACGAGGTTGGTGATGATCGAATCTTATCACCCATCTCAGAAAGACCTGAAAGTGGTCTTTCTGATCACATTGACATTCTACAAGGGCCATGCTCAAGTGGCACCCACAAGCGAGGAACATCATCCTCAAAGAGTGGTAGCAGCATACCCAAGAGAATGAGGCATCTGACATTGAGATGCTCAAAGATGTATCCGCTAGCCTTGGTAGCCTATCAGCAGCTTTACAGAAAGGCGGAACTGCTGCTACTGCCACAGCAGATGATGTCATGGGTCAGTTTGTGGCAGCACAATTGAAAAAAATCACAAATGCTGGAACTAAACAAGATGTTTATCTAGAAATACAAAAATTATTAAGAAATTTAATTAAAAAAGACAAAATTTATGTACATTTTTAATCAATTCCTATAGCCCTATTTTGAAAAGACAGCTTCAGAAGCATATCTTGTTCCTTCTTGTTGAGAAAGGCAATCTAATTTACAGGTTTCAGTATCCATTTCCCTATAACGCTTACTATGTGTTGCGAGAAAATTATGCAGAATACAATTTGCTAGTGTTATTGTCTCAACCTTTTGTGGATCTAAATTTATTGTTCCTCTGAGACTTCTAAATCTGTTGACTAAGATTCCAAAAGCATTCTCAACAGTTCTTCTTGCTCTTGATAAACGATAGTTGAAAATTCGTCTTTCATTGGATAATCCACGTTGAGGATATAGGTTAATAGTTCTTTTGGTTAGTGGTAAGGCATCATCACAAACTATTACATATGGAATCTTGATATTACTGTTGGGCGCAAATGAATCTACTCGAAAGTTCAGAATGTTTCTGTCAATTCCCTTTTTGAGACTGCTTTCTCTAAAAACACCACCATTACTAACCCTGCCCTTTACACCTATGTACAACATACAATAATTTATAGTTGGCATCTACTAGTCGTAGGAGAACTATGCTGTTTCGTTCTTTATAATTATGATAAAACGAGCCTGCAAATTTAGGAGCTTCAAAATCAACATGTTTGCCATCTAAAGCTCCTAAGCAGAAAGTGAAATTCCACATAATCTAGAACTCATCTGCTACTTTTTTCCATGCTTCAGCACTACTTGGAAGCTAAAAAAATATATAATAGTTATGTAAAGATACATGATATCCCCCTTATGCAGGTCTTCATTAAATTTGAAATTATTGCTTGGCAGACCTCTGGTGCAACTAGACTTATGGTACTTTCATGTAATCAGGTAGCAAACATCAGATCTCTGAATGAATTACCACTAGCTAAATATCGCAGTGTCACAGACAGCCTAAAAGCAACGGTGTCATATTTTTTTTCGCAGGACAATGCTGATAGTATCACCTATTTTCTGCAGTTAGAATGTCTTAAGTGTGTATCTTGCTTTGCAGTATCAGGTAGTATCATACGCAGCAATTTATTGAAACATTCATGTCCATTCTTGAAAAGTTTTTTAGATCTGTTTGGGTCCTCAAGCAATAATTCTTTTCTTAACATGTTCAACACTCCGCGGCCTTCGTCTCTTCTTTTCAGCCACTTCTCTTGCCAATTTTTTCGTTTGTTTGCGAGTCTCTTAATTCCCCTGTCCGCCACTTTCTTCGCAAGATAGACACCTAAAGAAACACCTGCTAAGGCAATATTTCTTTCCAGCTCCATAGTGCAGACCAGCGGATAATGTAATCAGTTAATAGTACAAAGCTAATCAAAGACACCAGAATTATTTTTATCAACTCAAAATCCGTTCTTGTTTTTAGTTTTTGACAATTCGGTGACAACTTTGACATTTGCAGACAGACACAATCTGAATGGGCAGAATCCCAAGCTATTTATTGGGCAATAAATTGCTTGAATGTAAAACAGCATTTTAAAGTCAGCAAACAATTGTTCATTCAAGATCTTGTTCAGGAAATTGAACCAAATCTTGTACAAGAAATTGTGTTGTCTCAAACAGACTTAAGAATAAATGTTTTGATTTTATATTCATATCACGTGTTTTGTTAGGTGAATACATTAATGTAGTGCCAATAACGATTTATGCTGTTTTCTCAAAACTACCCTGCTGTCGGCTGGTACTTTGTTGCATAACTGGGTCCAACTGTAACACCATTTCCACAAAAGTAATTTTTCCCCAATTCGTTTTCGAACCCTTCAACGAAAATTCAGTCAATAATTTCAATACATCTTTATAAGTATGATCAAAGTCAGTATAACCATAGAGATGCTATTAGAGATTAGTTAGGCCTTGATCATCTTAACGATGAAGCAAGGGAATTATTCACTAAACTCTGCTTGGAATTTCCAGATATATTCGATTTAGAAGGTGACAATCTGCCATTTGCTAGTGAAATTAAGCACTCTATTGACACTACAAACAATAAACCCATTCTTACAAAATGGTTACCCCTATGTCAATTAGGCATGGGTAACACTGTGCTGAGTGGCACATTTGTGTCGACACCTTCCGCGGTATCATGTGTGTTGAAACAACTTGTCGTGACACAATGACACCCTGACAATTTAGAAAATGGCCGTCGAGTTGGATTGGATATTGGATGGCACGGTGACACATGGGTGACACTGTGCGATTTTACTATTCCGACCGTTCGGATGATGTGGACACAAGGCTTTGTAGTAGACATTTTCAGCCAAATGATTGTGAGGATAAAATGCAGGCTAGATTGCTAAATCTACAACCAGTGTGCTAACAATCATTTATAAATGTTAGGTACATAAACATTCATTTTCTCTTTTAAATTATAAGTGTTTTCTTAGCTTTTTATGCATGTGGAGTTTTTGTAATTTTGAAAGTTACTTATACTTTTTTATAAACAAATATATGTAGGTAGATGAGTGATAGCATATAAGAATCGACACTCGGCTTCTGTCTTATTCTCTCCCTATTCTTATTGCATAAATAATAAGGTTAATGAATAATATTGAATTGAATTTTAAGTAATAATTATCTTTTTTTATAGCTATTCCTTGGCTATTTTTACCATTGTCATCTGAAAAACCAGTTGGTGAATGAACTCTGAGGGTGCTCAAGAAAGAGAGGGAAGAGCATGTTGAAAAACTTGAAAATATGGACTTAATGGTGAAAATCTTCTTCAAGTCGAGCAAGTTAAAGAATAAGGAAATATTTTTGATTCATTGTTATCATTATCATTTAAACCACATATTGAATATGTCATAATTAAATCTACCAAAAAATTCTATTTCATAAAGATGTTCTCTAAATAATTTTCCAATCTTAAAAACATTCTGGACATTATAGTTTTCTTTTTTATATAGCATTTTAATGTATGCTTCAATCATATGGAATCCATCTCAAATTGGTTTCATTAATAAGATAGAGTCTGTTAATCATATGATTTTAAGGTATGCCTCCTATAAGATTGGTTGTGGTATGAATTTTAATGACCATGATTATACCCAACAATATAACTTTTCATATATTGAACTTACAATCTGCTAGAGATAAGAGATGCTTTATTTTTGTATATAAATTAGTTAAAAATATGATTGACTGCTCAGAGCTACTTGAATTGCTTGATTTTTATGTGATTTCTAGGACACTAAGGAACAATATGTATTATTTTAATTCACCTGTTTTAAGACCTGGCAATATGTGTCCAATAATGTATATACTATTTAAAATATGCAATTTTAATTATAATTCACTAAATTTATTTAATGATTCTTTCTACACATTAAAAAAGAACTAGGATTATGTTTCAGTATAGATAATATTTATATTTTTGTGCTGTGATGCAAATGTCCTGTATTTTTTCCTTTAACGGGTTGATTTGTTTATAGCTATTGTTGCTATTTTATAATGTAGTTAGTGTTCTATGCCTGTTTTGATTCACATTATTTATGTAACACTTTTTAGGGTTTACCTTATTGAAATATATCAAATAAATAAAATAGAAGATTTATTTTTTAGACTGTTGGTGTATTTATCATACAATAAAATCATTAATTGTAATGAAATTTAAATAAAATTTTTTGCAATGCTACTATTTACGTGACGGCCGGGTTTGAAAGACTCACGCTGATTGGTCAGAAGTTACAAAGCAACCTTCTATCTCTAGTAATCTTGGATTTGTTCGACGTATAAAATAATTCAGAAATATAACATGAACTATAAAATATATGTTTATTACAGAACAAAAGAACAAAAATAATAAACTCTAACAAAACAAAACTTATCAAAATAAACTCTTAGAACTTGATACATTACAGACCAAAAGAACAACAATAATAAACTCTGACAAAAAAAAATTATCAAAATAAACTCTCCGAACTTGATACATAATATCCATATGTACCTACTATGTAGGTACTTTTATCTTTAGTAAAAAGAATAATCAATCAGACATATAAAAGAACTAATCATTATTATTTAAATTGTAACTTAAAAAAACTACTTCTGATATTTTATCCGTTTTTAATCTTTCGCGATTTTCATTCATGATCTGTCCCGCTTTCGAAAATATTCTCTCGCACGGGACAGATGTAGCCATAATGCAAAGTCGCGTTTTCATAATTTGGTATAACTTGGGGTATATGTGTTTCCTTTGACTCCACCAGACAAGAGGGTCTTGATGTACCCCTAAGCTATCCTTTCTAGGTAAAATGGGTTCGTCTAAATTCTTGTCGACTTCGATAATAGCCGTTGCTCTTGGATTGTCAGGTTTTAAGTGCTGTCGAACTTCTACATCAAAATCCTTCCATAAACCCTCAACTAGATTTTCTTCTTTGGGTGCAGTATCCTGGCCATGTTGGACATGTTGTTCATCATCAACATTCTCTTCTCTTCCATTTTCTGGCATTTCGTCTAATAAGGTGGTGTTAGCTACCTTTGTATATAACGTTGCTGCTCGTTTATATTTTCTCTCATCTATAAACCCAATTTTTTTAAATCTAGGATCCAAGAGAGTCGCTTGCGCAATTAAACTGTTCTCTTCTAGATCCTGAAAGCGGTTTTTTAATTCTAATTTAAGTTTTTCAATCATATTTTCAATTTGAAGCATAATCGTATCTAAATTTATAGAATTTAAATGTTTGGTTATTTATTCATAATAAAATATGATGGTAGAGGCGCTAATATCTTTTTCTGAGCTGGTGGCCGTTGTTACCAAATAAAAAATTTCTAGTACTTTAATCGCCTGCTCTGCTATAAGCCATTCTTCATTGTCCAGTTGATCAATTTCAGACTCATCCTGTTCATTCCTGCGAGAAGTATTTAAAATAGCCCAAGTCGATATAATCGCATTTTTCATTTGTAAAACTCTATTTATCATATCATATGTAGAATTCCAACGTGTTGCTACATCATTTATTAATTTTAGAGGGGGTATGTCCATACGTTCTGCAGAAGCTTTCAGTTGAGAGTATGCATGGCTACTCCTTTCAAAATAGTTGTAGTAGCGGCAGCTACTTTCTTTGTCAATTGCCATTCATCTATAACTTCTCTAAGCTTACTGGATATATTTTCAGCAGTGTATCGCTCTCTATAATATATACATCCTAGCAAATCTGAAGACAGCAAAATATTATTCTCCGTTTCCGCAATATAATGGGCGGTAACACTATAAAACTGTCATTCGTTCGTGATGTCCAACCATCAGTTGTTAGACATACTGCAAAAGCTCTATCTAAACGACGTTTGACCAGGTCAACTGTTTCATTATAAATAGCTGGAATCATTGATTTTGAAACTGTTTTTCTTGTAGGAAGCTTGTAATTAAGATTTAGTAAATAGAGTAGGCGCTTAAATTCTTTGTCCTCAACAATTCTGAAAGGATGATATTCTTTTGTGATCCTGCATATCAACTGTTTATCAATTTCTTTTTGTTTGCTAATTGTCAAAGGTTTGTGAAAATTACTAGTGATGGTTGGATTTTTACTTGCACGTGAAAAAGTTGATGCTTGAGGTTGTTTTATCCTGATAGAGAGGAAGTTGAAGGGGCTTCTCTCGGCTGAGGCAACTGTTGGGAAACTGCGGAGCTACCTTCTTCAACTGGATGTTCATCTGCTACCATTTGTCTAATCATTGGCTGTGTAGGATGTTTGAGCTTGATATGTTGAAAAATATCAAAAAATAATGTATAGCGCGCCACCTATCTTATATCATGTGAAGCCTGACTTATATGTATTGCTACCTTGATCTCTAAAATAATCTTAGTCGACATCCAGCATTCAAACAATAGCGTTGATATTTCGCCCTATCCCGTAACAGGTTATGGGCCCTACCACGTGCGAGCGGGTCGAAAAATCGCAGAAGTTTGAAGTAAATACGTGAGTCACTAAAAATGTCGTCAGTTAATTATCTAGCGGGAGTGCCAAAGCTAATTGGCCGCGAGAATTACGATAATTGGGCGTTTGCAATTGAAAATGTGTTCGTATTGGATGAATACGCGGATTGTCTGGTTCAAGGCAAAGAAACAGACAATGACAAAGTGTCGAAAGCTAAGGCGAAGCTTGTGTTATCAATTGATCCATGTTTGTTCGTGCATATTCAGAATGATAAGACTGCGGCAGATTTGTGGGATACACTGAGGCCCGACTTCACCAAGCGAGAGCTGACGGCGGGATAGCTACCGGGCCGACAGCTTACCGCTGATTCTTGTCGGAGCGGTAAGGTTCGTGCGTTTCACCACACATCTTCGGGTTGCCGGAGCGGCAGCGAACCGGCCCGGTAGCTATCGGTGCAGCGTAGACATTTAGCGCATAATTCTAGTGTGCCGTGCCTGCGTCCCAACGAGTTCCGTGTTCCGTGGTTGTAAATATGTTTGTAAAGTAAACAAATGGCATCATGGCGAGCAAGAAGGGCGGCATCAACAGGTCTCCAAATTTTACTGCTGGTGAACGGTCACTGTTCGTGGACGTTATCTTACCCAAATTTAAAAAAGTCATTGAAAACAAGAATACCGACGCAGTGACAAGAAAGGAAAAGGCTGACGCTTGGACTGCTTTGACGGCGGAGTTCAACTCGCTGTCAGCAGTACACCACCGCTCGGAAACCAGTTTAAAAAACTTGTGGGACACCTTAAAGGAGAATGCGAGGAAGGCCAGAAGCTCTCACAGGGTTGAATCGTTCAAAACTGGTTCGTATATATATATATATATTGATAGAATTTTGGTGATAAGATAAGACAACTAGCAAAACACAGACCACGACAGGCTCCGTACTATTCGAGCGGTACGCACAGACTGGCCTCGATCGACCACCGGCGTGCCGACCGTGGGCGATCGGGGTTGTATTTACTAAATTTGTCTGTCAAAAATTAACGTCCGTAATTTCATTATTTTGATTCTAACACGGCCAACCTGAGTACAAAGTCGTTCTCGACGTTAATTGTATAACAGCCTGATTTGTAGCAACGAAGTAAAGACAAAATACTCAGAAAGAAAATATTCTTGTATTAAACAAATTCAGAAATTAGTAACATTATAACAAATAACAAACATCGCAAACAATAATAACAGACAACGTAATCATTCACTCCTTGCTTCAGTTCCATCTGCAATCTCTGGTTCTTCCTCACTGAAACAATACCACAAAGTCAAACTTGACTTTATAAACAATTACATTAAGTAAGAATGCATAACGCACAAGATAAATACATGCAGAGCGTAGCAAGATTTAAAACATAAAACAATTGCGTGCAACGCGTACCAAGCTTTAAACAACAGATAGACACATGCAAAGCGTAGCAAGCTTTTAAAACATGAAAAAATTGCGTGCAAAGTGTACCAAACTTTAAACACCAGATAAGCACATGCAAAGCGTAGCAAGCTTTAAAACATGAAACAATTGCGTGCAAAGCGTACCAAGCTTTAAACACCAGACAAATACATGCAAAGCGTAGCAAGCTCTTAAACATGAAACAATTGCGTGCAAAGCGTACCAAGCTTTAAACACCAGATAAGCACATGCAAAGCGTAGCAAGCTTTAAAACATGAAACAATTGCGTGCAAAGCGTACCAAGCTTTAAACACCAGATAAATACATGCAAAATATATTTCTGACGTCACAAACTACATTCTAACACTGGCCAATATCCAGACTACTTACTCATCCTCTAAATCTTCAAGAAGCTCCTCCATGTTCACAGTCATAGACCAATCGCTAGGCCAACTCCTCAATTGTTCTTTAGCAGCCTTAGTCACAAGAGATTTACCAACTCTCTTCATTTCATATCGACCTTTTGGTGTGATACCCACAATTTCAAAAGGTCCCTGGAATTCATACTTCAATTTACCTTGGTGCATCTTATCATCACGGTGCATAAGGACAAAATCTCCAATGCTGAAGGTTTTGGTATTTCGGCGTTTTTCATTCTCCTTGATTTTAGCCTCTGCTAACGACTCCATACGATCCTTCATTCTACTACGATCGAGTTGTAAATTTCTGATTGGCTGTAGATCAGAACTTAAGTTAGCCAGCAAACTTTGGATGAGTGGAGTAGAACCATCAATGCCAATTAAAGCTCGAAGTGGTGTTGTTCCTATTGACTTCTGCACAGTCGTATTCAAAACCAACTGAATTTTCCATAAACCACTCGACCATTCTGACCGAACTTTTGTTTCAATTCGCAGAAGATTCATTATTGTTCTCATATATCTCTCTACTTGTCCATTGGACCTGTGTACATCGGGGGTAGTATAATGGTAACTGATGCCCAAGGAGTCCAAGTATTCTGGGAGGCTCAAGTTCTTGAAGTTTTTACCTGCATCCATAATGATTTGCTTCGGCGTACCAAACAGAGATATGAACAACTGAAAAGCTTCTTTCGTTTCGCAGGCTTTGACAGTCTTCAACGGCAACAGTATGCAATACTTTGTAAACGCATCGATTAATACCAAAATGTGCTTATGTCCCTCGTTTGTAGTTTCTAAGGGACCTAAACAATCGGCATGAATGATGTTCATGGGCTCAGACGGTTTTTCGACTCTTGTGACGAAGCCCTGTAATGGACCAGACCTAGTTTTCTTCACAGCACAGATGAGACAATGCTTTATATACTTTGTAACAAAGTATCGCATACGTGGGAACCAAAAGTGTATTTTTATTGATTCTAAGGTTTTGTCAATGCCAACGTGACACTGTTCATCATGAAATATCCTTAACAAGCCCAATCTGCTTTGTCGGGGTACAAAAGGCTTGGAAACGGATCCCTCAGATGTAGATATATTGTAATGTAGTATATCATTTTTGACAGAATAACGAGTTTTGTCCAAGCGCCCTTCCTTCCAGTCATCTAGCAATCTTTTAACCTCATTATCTCCACGTTGCTCAATATATAACCAATTGTTATATTTCTTCAGACAGCGAATTACGGGATTCCTGCTCAAAAAATCTACATGTGGCAATGAACACCCTTTTTTATAAACTATATCAAAATCAAAATCCTGCATGTAGACCCACCAGCGAGCTACTCTTGGTAGGATGTCCTTCTTTGCTGCTGTTGATTTGATAGCGTTACAATCAGTAACCAACGTAAAGTGGATACCGAGGAGATAAACCCGGAAATACTTCATGGAGCTTACCGCGGCAAGAGTTTCTAATTCATAAGAATGATATTTTTCTTCATACTTGTTGGTTTTTCTACTGAAGTATCCAATAACACGTAAATTTCCGTCTTGCTTTTGGATAAGCATCCCTCCGTAACCAATACTACTCGCATCTGTGTGTAATTCGGTAGGAAGTTCAGGATCGAATACGCTGAGGAGTGGTCGCGATGTCAAATATTCAATTATATACCTTCTAGCAGATTCTTGTTCTTCACCCCAACAAAAAGGCACGTTTGATTTGGTAAGTTTAGTGATAGGTGCAGTACGGGTAGCAAACTCGGGTATGAATTTCCGAAAGTATCCGGCTAAGCCCATCAACTGTCGGACTTGTTTTAATGTGGTAGGTACCGGGGATCTTACCAGTGCTTCTACCTTTTGTGACCCAGGAGATATGCCTTCTGCAGATATTTCTCTGCCCAAATATTCTAATTTGTTC